TTAATCGAAGTGACGCCATGCGGTAATATAGCCGGCGCCATGGCGCTAAACCGTGGCGTCCGTCTCCCCGATCCGCTCCTCTTCCACCGATTACAAACTCGAGTTCACTCTCAAGAGAACGCGATCGGTCAATCTTCCCCACGCTAATCCCTCCTCTCTCACTCTCTCTCCCTCTTCCACATCCGTCCCTTTTTTCCTCTTTACCGCTAGGCAAACCGTTTCGCCCGCATATCTCTACATAGAAGGGATATGTTGTTATCGACATCTCCGAAAGTACCTAAGCGTACGCGGCGACCGACAGCGGTCAGCGATTAGAAGGTCGTTATTCTAATGCACGCGCGGAGATTTAACGGGTCAATTTGCAATTTCCTTGAATAAACAATTTACGCACGATAAATATGAGGCGCGCAAAAGCGTAAAGGAGATAGTATCGCTATTCGAAGCGGAGCGGTTTCGTACCAATTCGCGCTCATTACCGTCGCACTGGAACTTGGCGCACGCGAGCCTTATCTGGTAGCCTTATCAACGCGGGAGATACATATACTACTTTCACTGCATCGCCAGCATGGACCAAATTCTTCGAGAGTGCACGGCTCCTCCACGGCGCGGACGCGGGCGCGGCGACGGACGGGAGGGCAACGCGCGTTGCGCATTCTATTTCTCCTCGCGGGGATCCGCGTATCGCGCTAGTCGCAATAGAATGCGGATGAAGTAAATCGCATAGCTAAGATATTCGAGAACCATATCCTTCCAATCTCCTTTATAGATAATATATCGAGGGAGGAACAATATAGATATTGTACATGTAGTTAAAGATTGCGTAAAAATTTTATCTCGGCTTATCTCATCGTTTCCGCACTGAAAAAAATGCATGTAATTTTACGTGGAAATTACATGCATTTTTTTCAGTGCGCCTTCTTGACGATCGGAAAAAAAGAGATTAACCAGAAATAATCGCAGCGAGGTGAAAAATAATACGGACACGTGTTGCGTAACTTACTGAAGTCACCGGGACAGGATTTGCAGCATCGTCCCGAGAGTAGAACTGGTTCGTCACACGTGAGTTTGGGGCATTCGTTCTTGATGTTGCGGCATTGAACTCTCGCGATGATCCGCCGTTTCTTTTGCACCTGAAAGTAGAAAACAACTACTGGTAAAAATAAAAACGAACTATACGTTATATTATGATTATTTCGAGATTTCTTCTTCTCGCGGACGCACGAGACGTCCTTGGGCAAATTTTTCGGAATTCTCTTCGCACAAATTTTCCGCCGTCTTACTTCATCTTTAAATCTGCTTTTCTCGCGCGCGTTAAGCCTGAGACACAATTGAAAAAAAAAGCAACAGAAATAGGGAATAACAGATGTCAACTTATATGTATACCATGGTTTCTGATAAGTTGAAATTTATTATTGCCTGTGTTTTTCAATTGTGTCTCACAATCAGACTTTATTTTTGGTCGCCTTCCGGCATAACAATGGAAAGAATGTTTACGAGGCGAAGGCAACGCAGCAATGCGACGCAGTTACTAAAAGTGCGGCTGCGAGTCGCGTGATTCCAGTTACGTTAGAAGAGAATTAAGTCGGTGGAAAAAAAACATTCCTAAAGCGTGAAACGACACACATTCGACACAATTGACTGAACGAGAGAAAAGGTGCGAGCAGGGGTTCGATTGTATATCATGTTGATAAAAATTACAAGAATAAACGAATTTCTAAAGAATATTTATAACATCTCTAGTGATTTTGCTCACTTTTATAATTTTCATCTCCGCTGAGTATAACGATACATTAAATTCCCAAAGGCGATCATTAACAGGCTACTCTTTAAGTTTGCATCGTGTGGCGACTCGTACTCATTGAGTATCCCGGCGGGGACAAGCGTCGACGTCCGACGTCCAACGTCCGACAAGGCGCGACATCGCTCCCGCGACGACTTTAGGTGAAGAGACATGGCTTCTTCTCTCTCGCAGCGACGTGTGATTCACGCGACGCGTCTGCTTCTTCCACCAAGCAAGACCGCGACCTATCAATAGCTCCTCATGTACACTGAAGAGGGACTGTCATTCCTCCGAAGTCTAAAAATAGAGGCCGCACTCTCGCGCTCCTCGACCACAAGCCGAACATAACAGCACGCCGCCGCGCCGCAGCATCTCCCGTCTCTCTTCCGTCTCGTCTTCCATCCATCTTTTCAATCGATCGTAATATTTTCGAAGAAAGAAGGATTCTAACCCGCAAAAAAGTATCTCGCGCGGATAGCTCGAGAACCGTCCGCTGCAGCAAAATTTAACTTGAAACTCAACGGAATCGACTTTACGCGTTCGATCAAAAATTGCTTCGGTCAAAAATGTTATCTCCTTGATATCATAATCATACCTGTTATTGCCACATTACGGGAAAGATTAGAACTCCGCGGTCTCTAATGATCTGACCGTCCTGACGACTTTAATGGCGTCGTACGTAATGATCGTACACCACTCCTTCTATGTGATCGTATAATTAATTTTCTCTTCTCGGTAAACTCATCAGATAGCGTCTCATTAGCATTTACACCGATTACTTATCGCGTGTTTTATCGTCGTTTAGTGCACACATAAATTCCGCAACATTTCCACATTAAGATTTAACGATTCGGCGCGCTCGAAATTCTCATAACGACCGGATGGCGGACTCGAGACTCGCGATCAACAACGATTAAAATATTCTCAAGATTTGATCCAAATTCCTTCGATTTAATGTAACGTACGAATGCAAAATTTTCTATAGAAAAAAATATATACATATTGAGAAAAAATTGTTTATTTAATTAAATTAATTTAATTCGTCTTTATTTCTTTCGATGAAGAATACGTGTATTTAAATATATTAAGTATATCATATATGTAATCTAAATACATACATTCTCCAATGAAAGGAATAATAACGAATTAAACTAATTTAGTCAAGTTAACAATTTTTTTTTCATTGTCAGTGTAGCCTTTTTTCGCCGGCAATATGTTAGACTTTAAAGTTAGACGCAGTCGATTTTTTTATTGTGAAAATTCTGATAGATAAATTTAAATCTGTAATAAGCAAATAAAATAATCCAATTTCATGATAGTAAAAACTTAATGTTGTAAAAAGCAAATAATATAATCCAATTTCATGATAGTAAAAACTTAATGTTGTAAAAAGCTTTCACAAGTGTATGTAAGAATTTTTTCAGACTTTTATACAATTCGAATAATATAAAAATCTGCCCTGAAGTTCGAAGAACCAGAATGAAGGGTGAAAATTTCACATTACTGATAGAACGGATAGAAATGATATATTCAAGAATATAAGATACCTTAGGAGAGAATATTATTACGCGACATTCCTTTACGCGTGTATTAAACAACGATAAGGCGTGAAAAAAAATTGGCGAATGCTAATGAAATATTGTACGAAGATGGGAAGAAGGGAAGAAAGTTATAAGTACACATCGCGCGCAAGAAGCGCTACAGTCGCGCTTAGCGTGCGATCGTAATGCGCGTAACAAATGTTTTCTCGTATTACATCGCGTATTTACAAACGCGATGTAACGCCTCCCCCCCCCGCAACACAAATATTAATATGATTACATCACAGGATGAACATAATAGCGTTTCATTGTTTATTGTATGTAAGAATTCGGTGTTACGCATCGAGATTCATTGCGTTATCACGAAGTGACAAGAGGGAAGAAGAGGGGGAAGAGAAGGCATGCGTACAATCAGAATATAAATGATGATTATTGCGCGTTCTCGAATAAATATGTATCCGTGCGTAATTTGTGACGCACGCGCACGTCGGCGAGCTAACTGCCTAACCGTCGAATCTGCGCACCTCGCTCGCCAAGTGACGTTTCGGATTCGGCGTCTCGACATTTGATACGTCACCTTTGTGTCAATAGCGTGGCATTTATAGGCCCAAGAGGTTAAATTATACGCCGCGCGCAACAAACCGGGGGCATCGTAATTGCAAGAATTTATCCTCCGATAGAAATTTATCCTCTCTCCATTTTATAAGACTTGAACATACCATGAGACTCGGTAAACATCGATGTGACTTGGATTTAAAAAAGGAGAAAAAAAATAACGATGTGAACATAAAGTCGTAATAAGTACCTAAGACGTGATTATAGCATGTTTCTTGACAATAAATTCGGAGGCAAAGGATAGAGAGAGAGTACGCGTCGTTCTTTATTCATGTATGTTAATAAATGCTGGCGTGGTATTGATTGTTTACTAAACACTACGTGTACGCCGAACGCTACACGCGTGACATGCGACACATTTGAATAATAGCTGCAACGAGTTATGTATTTTTTTTAATAGAAATAAAAAAAATTATAAAACACACGTACCGGTATGCACTCGCATTTGATGCAATACATGACTCCGAAGGGCGGTCCCAAGTCCGCGAACCATGTCGAGCCCAATTCGCGAATCTGCTTGCCGAAAGTGCATTCTGAAAAGAAAGGAAAAACATCGCGTCGTTATCAATCGTCGTTAGTATTACCATATTACCGCCAAATAACATTAGCGATGTAAATATAGACATCATCTTATCCGATTTATGATTTCATCATCTTATCGATTACTGATACTACGCTACAAAGATTGTATTTCGCAGACATCGAGAAGACATTGGCTATACGTTCAGCAGAAAAAGCGAAAATATTTTTGTTGAGGATTCTTTAATAAAAAAGAAAAAGAATTTTTATTACCTTCAATATTACACATGCCAAGAAGAAGACTTGATTCACTCTTTTTACCTTGTCCTCACATATTTACCCACATAAAATTCTTTAATATGTATGATTGGTTTATATATTTAGATCCGGTGAGAGGAACTAAGGACAAAAACCAATCGTATTAAAAAATCTTACAACAGTTGCAAAGCTACTTTTTCTGCTGAAAGTAGCCGTTATGATAGTCATATTAAAAAGAGATACACTTTGAACGCAAAACACAGCTCATCGCACTGACGCACTTCCGTTGCCATCATCGATGAATGAGACGCAATTTGATGCGAGTATAACGTAACACGCTCGGTATGTACATACATTGATCCGCGTGCATATTCATTCGCACCGATATTATGCGTCGCGCGTTCATTCAAACCACCTGCACCGCGTCGCGTCGTATAGAGACATGTCACCGAGACGCGATGATCGACGCATCAGTCATTCTCGATGTAAAACTCGGGCTCTTGTTTGCAAATTACAAACGTATCGTGTGAACCACACAGAGAGAAAAAAATTTCCTATGATCGCAAAAGGAATTATAAAATTTAATTGTCAAATTTGTTTGCTGTTTATAGCAAATAAATTTGCATATTTGACAAATATTTACATTTATTGCAAATAACTTTTGTAGCAAGTACAAAAAAGTACTTGTTATATCTGCAAATAATTTGGCGATCTCTATATTTGCCAACAGAATTTGCTGTCATGGCATAGGATTAGCGTTTACAGCAAATTTTTTGTCTCTATGCAGCTCGATGTTGGTCGATGACAAAACGGACGAGTCTCTCCGGTTTGCCACTTCGAATCCGGATTGCCGGATTAGTTTTACAGCACAAGACGTAAATCCCAAAGAGAAAAGGGATAAAGACGCGACCGTTATCTTTTACAACAAGCTGGCGATAGCCAGTAGCAAAACACGTAATAATACGCTCCATTAAATTGATAACAATATCGATGATCTTTTTCAGCTTGATATTTCATTAGACTACCCTTGTGAAGCTAGCCTCCCATTATTAAAAAAAATTATTTCTTTTGAGAGTTCTGAATAGATTTTCACAATAGTTTCAGAGTTCCTGATAGATTTGAGAAATAGTTCTGGCCATTATATATATAAAGCCATAAAAACGCAATTTTAAAAATGGGGGGCTAACTTCACACAGCTCCCCATTTTCGAAAAAAAAAATCATTTTTTTCAGAGTTCTGGATAGATTTTGAATAGTTCCAGAGTTCCCGATAGGTTTAAGAAATAGTTCCGTTCGAGAGAGGGAGAAAGTAAAAAAAAAAACGTCATTGAAAAACCCGAAATTGACACCTAAAAACAATTTTCTCATTAAGATATTTTACAGAACTCTGGGGGGGGGGGGCCTATCCAGAACTCTCGACAGAACTGTCAGAATTCTTCAAAAAATTTTTTGCTCTGCTAAATTTGAAAATGGACACCTATAATCGCTCGTAACTTTTTCAGTTGAAATTCTGCGGATTTTTGTCATTAGAATTTTCGACATTTTGCGATTTTTGTATGTGTCCGTTTGCCCTTTATGGGGATAACACCCTTTCGAAGTAGATCGGTTTTTCTCTTTCGAAACAGATGCTTCCGAAACTGTAAGAAGTAGAACTAATGTTTGAAATGATAGTTGCATGGTTTCAGAAATAATTTACAACAAAAGATAAAAAAATTCTTTTTAAATTTGTTTATTTATTCTCACCACTTTACTATTCTTTTTTAACTTTGATTTTTTTTTATGATAATGAAAAATATTTTGAGATGAATTTAATCGTGTATGATAAAGTTATTTTCCAATGTATTTTTAGAAATAATTAAAAACTCTCAATATGCTCGTGGTGCGTTAAGAATCGAATGTGGATGGCGAGCATATAGAAACGTTTTTAATTATTTCTTAAAAATGGTACTTTGGAAAATAATTTTGTCACACACGATTTAATTCATCTTATAATAATATTTCTTATTAATATAAAAAAAATGAAAATTAAAAAAGAAGAGTCAAGTGGTGATAATAAATTTAAAAATGTTTTTAAATTCTTTCCTTTTTTTATTGTAAAGTACTTCTGAAACCATGCAACTTTCACTTCAAACATTTTTTACTATCTCTTACTTTTTAGTTTCAGAAATTTTCACTTCGAAAGAGAAAAACTGATTTACTTCGAAGGAGTATTTCATTTTTTAAAAGTGCAAACGGGTACGTATAAAAAAATTGTGTCGCTTATTTTTGTCTGTGAAACAACATATTAAAAGCTTATCGAAATCAGAGAGAAACAGTTGGGTCTCTTTTCTTGTACGGTATATTTGTAGAGTATTTATATATAATCTTTCGTTTTTCAAATGTACACCATTAATTGTATTTTACAGCATTTGAAATGCTGCTGTAATTCATGTTTTAACATCATTTGTTTGTTGGATATTTTAGACAAAAAGCATTCAATTATTCTGAGTGTGTGGTTGTCATACAAACAGGATATGTAGGTTTGAAATTTTTATTTGATTAGATGTACCGCATTACTATTTACATTTTGTAATTATTTTTGACGGTGTATGAATGAAAAGTTAGGTAAAATTAAAGTACTTTCTATCAAAAGACACAGATAACCCAATGTAACACATTGAATCATTACATCCTTGTTATTTGGAAATGTTAAACAAAGATGACAATCACTGTGTCGCTTGCTGGAAAGCACCATTATTATTGTGTGCCTTCGATTTAGGAAATTTTTCCCAGTCGATTCGGCCCGGCCATTTGCGTACTACAAAGCTACCGCTGCTGCCGTCACCGCTCGTCAACTTAAACTCGATGCGGACGCAGCGACGCGACGATTGAAACAGTGACGCGTGATTGAGTAGAAACAACGTTGTTATAAAACTTTAGTCGTGTTTAGTAGCATTACGATACACGGAACAATTGTATTGCCACGCTTGTTTTATCAAATATTTTGTAGTCAATATTAAGTTTATTAAGTATTCTATAACTATTGACAAATTTTAAATCTGTTTTTCATTTGCTGTATAAACTGCTTTTTATGCACATATTATAAGTTAATATAACATCTTGGATAACTAACAATTCCTTGGGTGAGTTTGGTTTAATTACATGTTTTTATGGGAACTCTTATTCATATCGCGTTTCATAACAGTTTTTTTATTTAGGTTCAATATATAGTACAATGTACGACGTAGAAAAACTCTTGTCTTTGTTAATTTCTGATGAATATCGAGTAACAGATGACAATGGAAATATATATCGTCCTTCCCATGAGATATATAAAAAAATTTTAGAAAAAATGCTTGAATATAATAGCGTAATATCCACAAAACATATAATACCAAATCTTTCGAACTGATCGCAAAAAAATTTATATTACCGTTTTGAATGCATTTGACGTTAAAAATGAGACAAATAATTCCACGGATATATTGAACTATCCCTTACTGAAAACGTAACACATGCATCTAAAGATACTGAAAAATCTTTTCGATTGGTTATTTCAAGCGATAAATGGAATAAAATAAAGAAAAAAATGCAGTTACTTATAATAATCGTATATGGTTCTTAAACCTGGAAAATGGAGCGATTTACTTGCGGAAAAAATTTATCAACAGGCTAATTAATAGATTGATAATAAATTGAATGTGCAATATCTTTCAAACGTGCGAAGATTTATGTACGTAGCAATGCTAAGCACTACGCTGTATTTGAATGGAAAATGCAAAAAATGCAGCGCAGTTATATACAGATTTTTGCTCAAAAAACCGCAAAAATCTAATGACGCGATATTTGAATGTAAAGTCACAAATTTTCAGTCAAATTTTATACATTCAAAAAAACGTCAATTAAAAGGTTACCTTAGAGAAAAAGTTCGAATTAGTAGATGGACGAAAATGTGCTTCTGAATAGAGGAACAAAGAAGCGACTCGTTTAATGGAAATTGGAGATTCTGTTCCGCCTATAATCTACGATTCTGCCGTTTTAAGAAAAGCTGTTAGATAAACGTCTCCAAATACAAACTACAGATCCTATAAAAAACTTGCGAAATGCGAAACATTCAATACTTCGAGGCACTATCCGGTTATGATCCATTTTATTGGACCGAAAAACGTGTATTATATAAAAATGTCTGTAAAGACAAAAATTGTTTTCTTGCAATCGATGCAACTGGGGAAACAGCCAATAAATTATTTCTTCCAAATGGAAAGAAATCCTCATATTTATTCCTTTATCAATGTATATACGTCACAAACAAAGTTATAGTTTTCCCGCATTTCAAATGATTTCTTCAAAACAACACGCATCACAAATTTCATTATTCTTGCTTGAGATATTAAGAAGCGGCCGATACCGCGACTTGTAGTAAGCGACTTCGGAAAAGCAATTTTATTGGCTATTGCCCGAATTTTTGGAAATTATCGAAATTTGCAAAACTATTTAGAAATTTGCTTTAATATAGTGTTTTCCAAATGTACGTTGACATTGCCCGACTGTTATATCCGATTAGATGTTAGTCACGTTGTAGCATTGGTAGCTCGCTGGTCATGTTTAAAAAAAAAGCGTCAAAGATACGTCAGTTCTTTTTAAGATGTATTTGTATCGTCTATCAATCCGATAATTTAATTGAAATCGAATCGTTATTGAAATCAGTGCTAGTAGTTGCGTTAAACGAGGAAATTGGTGAAAACAAAAAGGTGAATTTTTAGATTCTGAAGTTCATCTTCGGTTCGCGAGTAATCGCATTAAAGGTTTAACAGTTGATGATAATATACCAGATAACGAATATTTCTTGCACAACGCTGATGATAACGGAACGTCAGAAAGTTGGTCAGAATGGGCAACAATTGTTTACAATCAAGCGGAAAAAATTGTATCACGGTCAATAGAAGGGACGATTGTAAATGCTTTTTATGATGTAGAAGTAGCACAAAAAATCAAATCATTGATGGGTTCCTTACCGCTTTGGACGGGTATAATGACGAGATATTTTAAGATCGGAGACAAAACAGCTATGTCTTCTTTTGTAGAAGCTGAATTTTCTACATTGAAATGTAAAATTTTTAAAAATCGGTTACCAATGCGCATAGACAAATTTATATTACAACATATAAAGTACATTGATGGTAAGCTCCTTTTAGCAAATGCTGAACATCGTGTTATGGATAAGAAAAATATCCAAACAGATTTAAATAAAATAACAAATGAATTTCTAAAGCTAAGAACTACTCCTTCTAATAAAAATGAAAAAATAGGAAATACACTTCGTATGAGCTGCGATGAAGTATATATACTAGTATACAGAAGCATGTAATATCTCCACGTCACAGCCATCACATTTTGCAGATTTTATAGATTCTAGAGATCAAACATCACCCTATTTAGAAATATTATCTAAGCCATCACCTGCAAACGACAATGAAGAAGTTAGTGTAAATTCTTTAAATCAAATCGAAAATTGGAGAGGAAAAGCGACACAGGATATTTCAGTCTCAAACTGTATCGATGAAACGTCACAAGCCAAATTATTTGGATTCATGTCCCGATTGGAATACCGATAATATAAAAAGCGCAGTAGGATTGCCATTAATTCGCATTGGCAATGTGTGAATCTCGTAATTATAGATAAACAAACAATAGTTGTCCATGAAACGTGTGCTTTCAATTCTACATTGCAGATTGTAATAGCTGGACTCGCATTATATGAATCATATAACACTAAAACAATTAACAGTGCAAATCATACGATCTAATTAGCAAGAAAAATTTAAAAAAAAAATGAAATTCAAGCAAGCAACTACGTTGAAAGAGCTCAAATATTGAAATCTATAGGATTTTTTGAAAAAAGAAACACGTACCAACAAATACAATCGTTAAACGTAAATTGTAACGCGGCACATCTTACCGAATACCTATTTCGAGACAGTCCTAGTTATACAGCAACTACAATATGTTCAGAATGTTCCTACGTTTTTTGTCTAAAAAAATCCAATACTGACAATTAATGTTAATTTTATATTAAAACATGGATTTTAGATGTTACAAGATGCAATTAATGACGTACATTTGGAAAAACGAAAAGTTACGTGTGAAAAGTGCAAATGCACTCAGTCCGAAACCGATGTTGTTTATGGATATCAAATAATTATTGATACTAGTATTATCACCGATAACAATTATCAAAAAATTTCAAATTCGGAAATTATAACATGCAACTTAAAATTGTTACCCAAAGTTGTAATTATTGGTCAACAAAAATATGGTTTTGCAGGACTTATGTCCTACAAATCATATAATACGGAAACGAACGACGGTCATTACACGGCTCTTATTTATGATGGATTAAAGTGGTAAAAATATGATGATATTGATACCAAGAAAACATGTATCTGAAAACGAAATTGTAACACCTCATGTATTGATGTATGTTATCTCAGAATAAAATATATTATAAGTATTAAACTCTCTCAGATTAAAGCTTTTAACTAAAGTTACAATAATTATTTATCTCTCTACTCTTTAGATATAAAGCAGCTGAACCGAATAAGGTCCATTTAATTTATTTTAGCTTTTAAAAATTCTACTTATATATATAAATGGGAATATATTAAAATAAACTAAATCAAAAGATTATTTCATTCACTTATAAAAATAAAACATTATTTATATAAAATATTTATAAATAAACGAAAAAAAATTTTTTTTTAATTTTTTACCATTGGGATTTATTACATGCATATAAATATAATTGTTTAGACTAAACTCAGTACATATTCAGATTCATATTATTAAATATAACATTCATAATATAAATTGTATCTGATACATAAATTGTACAATTATTTTTAATCTCCCAGCCATCATTAGATTACCTTTCTGAAATTCGACACTTGACTTTAAAAAATGCTTGACTTAATTTAATGCTCATTAAACAAATATTTTTATTAAAATCGAATGCCACAAATTCATATAGATTTTGTTATTGAGGTCTCTAACAAATAGATTGTACGTATATATACTAACAAAGTCATCGTAAGAAGAAAAAAATATTAAATATTAACTTAATTTCAATGGTACAAATTAGTACAAATTCATTTTTGCCCTCGGGTTGTTTTTTTTATGGTCCTGCCAGCTTAAACATTAAACTAGCAATGACACGTTTTCTTAGAAATAATACATAAAATAGAATTTTTTTCGTAGCACAAATTAGTACATTTGATCCTATTCATTTCTGATATTCTTATTCTTTTTTTTGCTTTTATTTTCAATTAGTCCTGCCAGTTTAATGTTAAGCTAGCAGCGCAACGTTTTTTTTCCCCCAAAACGGCACAGGGTACAAAATTTTATTGAGAGTACAAATTAGTATAAAATGGGTACCAATAGGTCCAAAAAGGTTTAATAGGTCCGATGTGATTTTGCTGATTTGATCCTACCAGCTTTAGAGACGAAAACCCGAGTATTTAATGCTGAATCTCATTCGGCTCAGGAATATTAATTTAAAAATGTGGATGTATTTATAAGTTTTGACAAATTTCGCGGTCATACTGTCATAATATAAAAAAAATGTATGTATATTAACAAATTTATATTCAACAATTACATATAACATTTCTGTCGAGAGTTCTGGATAGCCCCCCAGAGTTCTGTCGAAAATCCTAATGACAAAAATCCGTAAAATTTGAACTGAAGAAGTTACGAGCGATTATAGGTGTCCATTTTCTAATTTAGAAGAGTAAAAAATTTTTGAAGAATTCTGACAGTTCTGTCAAGAGATCTCGATAGCCCCCCTAGAGTTCTGTCGAAAATCCTAATGACAGAAATCCGTAGGACTTGAACTGAAAAAGTTACAAGCGATTATAGGTGTCCATTTTCAAATTTAGCAGAGCAAAAAATTTTTTGAAGAATTCTGACAGTTCTGTCGAGAGTTCTGGATAGCCCTCTCCCCAGAGTTCTATAAAATATCTTAATGAGAAAATTGTGTAAAAATAATACTTTCAAAGTTATGGCTGTTTTTTAGGTGTCAATGTCGGGTTTTTCAATGATGCTTTTTTTTACTTTCTCGAACGGAACTATTTCTTATACCTACCAGGAACTCTGGAACTATTCAACATCTATCCAAAACTCTAAAAAAAATGATTTTTTTCGAAAATGGGGAGCTGCGTGAAGTTAGCCCCCCATTTTTAAAATCGCGTTTTTATGGATTTAATGGCCAGAACTATTTCTTAAACCTATCAGGAACTCTGGAACTATGAAAATTTATTCAGAACTCTCAAAAGAAATTATTTTTTTTTAATAAGGGGGGGCTAGCTTCACAGGGGTCATTAGACTCGTCTTCATTCGCTAGGAAGAAAAGGAAAGAGTAAGATTGCAAGCTGCTATTAGCAGTATAATTATTTTCCATCAGTCATCCTTTCTTTTCCATGTGTAAAAATAAATGCAGACGTGGAAGCGTCCGAAAATAACACAATGAGAATCGCTTGCGTTTGTATTACGCATACACATGCATCTCGCGGCGTTCTTATTATCCTGTAAAGTAACTAATTACAACAAGTATCGCCTTTTTTCTTAATCCACAGTTCTACGCTCAATTCAAAATTAGCTGGATTATATTATATCAAGATAGATTATTAAAGTTCCGAGACACCAATGACTAGCAGACAACGGACTACCAAATACCATCAAACGACCACCAAAAGAATGGTAATGGTCATTTTTAGATTTTTAATGGAGGGATCAACTTCATACAGCCCGAGACATCAGCTAAAAGATTGCAATACTTTTTTTCAATGAATTTCAGAATTCAGCCTCTTGCTCGTAGAGCGATTGAACGTAAATGGTCAGATCCATAAATAAGAACCAATCGCTCGGTGAACAGACTACATTTCAAAATTTTCAAAAAGAAAAAAAGTGTTGCAACCTATGAACAATCATACGTCTTATGATACATACGCATAAAATTAGAATACTAGTCACAAGTTCTTATACAAATTTTACGAGAACACGTTACGAATCTTACGAATCTGCTTAGAATTGGCCCGTACATCTCTTTTGTTTGATTTAATTACAGAACGTTTTCTCTCAGAGTGTATATGTCTTTTAAAAAGATGAAATAACCTTCGTCTTATGTTATTGCTCTAATATCAAGTAAAAAGATAAATATTTACTAGTTGGATATTTGTGAGTGCGTGCGTGTGTGTAAATAAGAAAGAAAAAGATAGACAATGTTGTGGAAAAATACATTAGCGGAAATTTCACGATCATATCGCTCTAAGCTACTAAAAAACTATCCATCGCAATGAGAGAGAGAGAGAGAGAGAGAGAGAGAGAGAGAGGAAGGAGAGAGAGCGAGAGAGAACTCGGTCATGTACGAGTTAGAGAAAGGAAAATGGAGAGAGGCCCGTTTTGCACGAGGTCATTGCACTGCGTGCGCTAAGTCGTTCTAAGCGCAAAGTCGCGGCCCTAAGTAACTAGGAGTCCGAGAGAGCCACGACACAAGCTACCGCATCGAAAATATGCGAGTCACGCGGCATAGCGCGGTAAGGTGAAGCGTATTAGGTCTCCTCTCCTCTCCTCTCCTCTCCTCTCCTCTCCTCTCCTCTCCTCTCCTCTCCTCTCCT